TCCAACTACAAGAAGAAATACAGGTTGCTATGTAACAATTCATGTAGGTTTTGCAGCAGCAGATGGACATTTTGAATGGAATTGATGCCCATTTGGCTCTTGTTCCTTGCATTTCCAGAAGTTTGAGTTTTAAAGCAAACCAGCCACAAAATGTGTTGAGCTTGTAGAACATGAACCTGAACATATCTGTTCCTTCTCTTTTTTCTTTGGGGTACTAGATAAAGTCATTCACATTCCTACTTCCCCAAAGGTCAAAGCCTGAATGCTATCCATGTACAAGAGACTTAACTCTCACTTTTCCCTCTGTCATTAAGATTAATTTGAATTTACTGAAGTAGAGTCACATTGTGAGATGTGCACAAGTGGACCCCTATGGGCTCATACAGACCATTTTGAAATATGTGGGTCACGCTGTGACTTTTATAGTCTATTTCACTGCCTCCACAGAGGAGTAAATTAGTCAGCTTCCTGATCATTAGTGTAGATCTTCTGCATGGCAGAATGGGAAGAAAGCATGATCAAAAATGGGGTCACACAGGACACCAAAACAGAGATTCAGGCGCAGTAGCTGAAGCCATCTGCTTGTAACCTGCATTTAAATAACTAGGTAGATATCAATTTGACAATGACACTTTGAAAATTCTTGTGTTCAATTTCTTAGCTGTGTACATGTAAGCTTCTATGGCATGCAACATCAGCTAAAGGTGCTTTCCTTGGTCTGGTTTGACAAATGCAGGAGAGCTACTTTTTAGATTCAAGAATGGCTTTAGAAGAAAAAAAAAATATTATTTTTCAAAGAATCTAAGCAGGAGTAAGAAGAGAAAAGCATTCCCCTTCTTTAGAGACATATTGTGGCATACCTACCTTTTCTGTGAACGTAGCTATCTGATCTATCCAGCCTGAGATGCTGGTATTACAGAATGGGCTCCAAATATACGTAGCCATAAACACAGCACTAGATATGTTACACCTGTACAGCAGAAATTTGCAATTTCTATTGTGGGAAGCTGGGCAGAGGACAACTATTTGGCTGGTATCACTAGTAGCACTATGTTACTAATAGTATCGCTGATTTTCTCATAATAGCACAGTATTTAAAAAAACTGTTCAGAAAGAGAAACCTTCATGAACATCTCCCTTGTAACACTGGACTAAGCCATGCTAGCAGCAGTCATAACATTCTATGCCATATCATTCCCTTCCAAATGCTTTAATTTCATAAAGCTGGCAGATCCAGTGCTCACAGGCTTTTTAAGATTCCCTTTCTGTCTCTCATATTGTTTGTCGTTATTGCCTTTTTTCTTGTGTGCTCACCTCATCACTATCTGAAATGAATATGAATCTTGATTTTCATTCTTCTGTAACCCTTTTTTACTACTCTGACAGCTGAAAGATACTTTCTTACTGGCTTAAACTGCAACTGATGTAATGCAGGAGAGTCCTCAGATGGTGTAAAACTGACCTAGCAGGACAATGGCCATGTTAAAAGGGCACTACTAACTCAAGCAGTGATTGGGAAGTGGCCCTAGCAGTTGATAAGCAATTGAGAGCCACACTGAGGTTATTCTAAGCTATATTAGGGAGCATGATAGTACTTGATTGTCCACTGTACTGGGAAATTTAATGACTCTTGCTGGTATTCTTGTGCTGTTGTATTCACAGAATTGTGCAGCATTGACCCCATCTGACAAAGCAGACAAGATTCACCTGAGAGCATAACTTCAAGTCACATTTCAGAAAGAAATGAACATATTTTGTCATCACTGTGAACTTCGCAGGAGCCATGCAGAAACAGGTAGCATACTGACCCAGTGTTTTGCAGTGCTTGAATCAGGATGAGCTAGAAATCCCTCTGAACTCCAATGTATTCTACCAAAATGCCCAGTGTCATCTCAATTTGCTAAATGTATATAAACCTATGTAATTTCATTTCTGAAGTTCCGTGTCAGCTTTTCCAGATAGGTGCCATATCCTTCTCAGTTTTGGAGATTGACTGTTCTATGTCTAAAACAATTCTATACAGATGGAACCAAATTATTCTTCATCACTTTGTTACTGAATAATCAGTGTTGTTTCCCCCCAAAAAAGAGAAATTATGTCTTTTTGCTAGAAACTAAAAGACCAATCAACAGAGATTTTCATAAAATAATTTTTATAGAGACAGATGCCTAATCCCTAGTATTTTACTTTTCAAACCATTTCAGATCTCAAATACAGCAACAGCTTTTCCAAGGACTTCTTACATAAGACAATTGATTTTGGAAATGAAAGGTAATAACAAATTTGTGTAAAACCCCACAAACAACTGATGTATGCAGGAGCTGGGAACCAATCTTCTTAATCACTACAAAATAATTGCTTTCAGTGGAGAAATCTTTCCTAGGTACCATCTAGCTGTCTAGAAGGAATAAACTGGTTCTATAAAGTCATATTTACAATTAGTAATACAAGATAATGCTTAATGCATCAATCCAAAAAGCTAAAAGCTTCAGCTGTGGTCTTTTCAATAGATGCCGAAAAGCTATTCAACAGTATCAAATAACATAATCTGTTTCATTTATTAGAACGAGTTGGACTTGATCCTAACTTTATTCACAGAGTAGAGATTTCATACTAGATAAAAACTTCTTTCTTACTATGCAGTGTTATTTACATTTACAGCAGAATGTAAATGATCTGTAGCAATTGCCCCTAAATTTCTTATGTTTTGCCTTCTAAACTGACACTAATTTTTCCAGATAGTACTGAAATACTTTGCCACCATTACTTTTTAATCTACTACAAGTACACAGTCATGTGCATGGTTTTGTCAGATTTTAATAGTTTGATAATATCTAAATAGACACTGTCTGGGGAGAAGATTTGAACTATGTATTTGAAAGAAAATGTTGATGAAAGAAAATTTTGGCAAATCTGCCTTGATATCGCAGGCAGCCTTGATAAACAGTGTTACTGTATAGGAGAAATTCTTGTTCACAGCTCCATGTAAAGCTAATGGGAAGCCACCTACCTACTTGCATTGGAGCTGCATTCTCTTTAAACTCTTAGCCTTGTTAATCAAAATCCATTGTCATACTTATGTTGAATTTAACATGAAGAATTCAGTTCAGTAATTAAAAACAAATAATTAAATTATTAATTTGGCACCAAACTGAAAAATTTATGGTTACTTACAAAGATTCACTAGAATGTCAGGAACATAAGTAGTGTTCTCCTCTATCCCTCCAGTTGCAGGGAATGAGGAGGGAAGAAACAGGAAGACTTAGCTGATGAATACCTGGCTCCATGTGGTGACTGGTGTCACTGGCAGAATTTTGGAGTCTACACGATGCCAGACCTGCTGTCAGCAGAGTACACCTGTCTTAAAGGGGGAAAAGGATCTTTGCACAGGAGTTATCAGGGCTCATTGAAAGAGCTTAAAACTAGACTTGAAGGGGGAAAGAGACAAAACCAGGCTTGCTAGAGATAAGCCTGGGGGTGGCACACCAATGTTTGAGGGATCGTGTGTTAGTGAGGTCCTTCAGTCTGCTCCATGATGTGATGAGTACACTGGAGTATATTTGAAATGTCTTTATACTAACATGAACAGCATGAGGAAGAAACAAGAGGAGCTAAAAAACTTTGGCCCAGTCCCGCAGCTATGACACCACTAGCGTAAGTGAAACTAGTGAGATGAGTCCTGTGACTGGTATGCTGTAATGGACAGTTAGAGGCTCTTCAGGAGGGATAGGAAGGGCAGGTGAGGCAGTGGGGTAGTGCTGTATGTAAGGGAGGGGTTGGACTGTATGGAGTTTACAGCAGGCAACAACATGATTGAGAGCCTCTGAGTAAGGATGAAGGGGAAGGCAAATAAAATTAATATAGTTGTGGGATTCTGCTATCCACCGCCCAGCCAGGATGACAATGTCGACAAATTATTCTACAAGGAATTAAGGGATATCTCTAGATCAACTGCCTGTGTCCTTATGAGTGATTTTAACTTCCCAGACATCAACTAGGAATATCATATAGATGACACAAACAGGTCCAGGAAATTTCTGAAGCATGTTAGAGACAAATTCTTGGTGCAGGTACAGGGAGCCAACTAGGAAACATGCCCTCCTAGATTTGTTGTTTGTAAACAGAGAAGGATTTGTGGTGATTGGTGGCTGTCTTGGTCACAGTGACCATGAAGTAGTTGACTTTCAAATCATTGGCAAGAAGAGGAAAACCACCAGCAAAACTTCAATCCTGGATATGGGGAGAGCAGACTTCAGGCTGCTAGATGAGCTAGTTAGTAAGGTTCCATGGGGATCTGCTTTTGAAGGTATTGGGATCCATGAATGCTAGTCACTTTTTAAGAGCCATCTCTTAAGAGTGCAGGTGCAGGAAATTCCAAAGTATCAGAAATCAAGCAAGTAGAGCAGAAGGCCAGCTTGGCTGTGCAGGGGTCTTCTAGATCTTAGGTAGAAAAGGAAAGTGTAAGGACATTAGAAACAAATACAGGCAACAAGGGAGGACTACAGAGATGTTGTTCACCACTGTAGGGAGAAAATTTGTGCAAAGCTTGATTGGAGTTCAAGCTGGTCAGCACCATAAAGGACAACAAAAAGGGTTTTTTAAAACATGTTAATAGCAAAAGGACAATCAGAAGTAACATTAGTCTGTTGCTTGATGAGGTTGGTCACCTCACAAACAGGGATACAGACAAAGCTGAGACATATAATGCCTTCTTCACTTCTGCCTTCAACACTAATGATGGGCCCTGGGACCCCTGGAGCCCTCTGTTGGAAGACTATGACTGGGGGATGATAAACACCCAGCCTACCCTAATCTTGTTTGAAACTTGCTGCTCCAGATGGTTGTGCATATAGGGCCTGATGGTATTCATCCCAGGGTTCTGAGTGCTGGCTGATGTCATCACAGGACATATCTCCATTATTTTTCAATCACCTTGGGTGTCTGGAGAGGTCCCTGACTGGGACCTCTGGCAAAGGTTGTCCCAATTTCAAAAGGGTAAGAAGGAAGACCCTAGTAATTACAGGCCTATCAGTCTCACTTCAGTTCCTGGTAAAATTATGGAGAAGGTTATTTTGGGAATATTGAAAAACACTTGAGACACAATGCAGTCATTGGTCATAGTTAGCACAGATTCATGAGGTGAAATTCCTGCTTAGCTAACAATTTTCTTTTATGAGAAAGTCACCTATCTTGTTTACCAAGGGAAGAGAGTATATGTAGTAGTTCTGGATTTTAAGAAAAGCTTTTGATATTGTCTCTCTGGGTTTGGGTTAATGACAAGTTGAATATGAGTCAACAGTGTGCCTTGGTAGCTAAAAGGGCCAGCTCTGCCCTGGGATGCATCAAAAGCAACATAGCTAGCCAATTGAGGAAGATGTTGTCCCTCTCTACACTGCATACCTCAAGTACACTGTGCAGTATTGGGTGCTTCAATATAAGGACATCAAACTGTTAGTGTGTCCAGAGGAGGAAGACCAGGATTTCAAAAGGCCTTAAGGGCAAGACTAATGAGGTCAATTGGTTTGTTTAGCTTGAAGGAGAGAAGGCTGAGGGGTGACCTCATCACAGTCTACAACTTCTTCAAGGGGGGCAGTGGAGGGGAAGATGCTGATCTCCTCTCTCTGGTGACCAGCGATAGGACATGAGGAAATGGAATGAAGTTGAGTCAGGGGAAGTTCAGATTGGACATTAGGAAAAGATTCTTCACTGAGAGTATGGTCAGTCACTGGAACAGGCTCCACAAATAGTCATGGCACCAAGCCTGCTAGAGTTGCAGGAGCATCTGGATGATGCTTTTAGTCATATGGTTTGGTTTTAGGCAGTCCTGTGAGGAGTAGGGAGTTGGAGTTGATGATCCTTATGGGTCCCTTCCAACTTGAGATATTTTATGATTCTATGATACCATGTCATTTTACAAACATAAAAAAAGGTCCAAATAGAGAGATGTTTGCAGCGCAATATTCATAACATTAATGTTAATGTGAGTTATACTGCTAATGCCATCCATGAGAATAGTGCTGAAGGGCCATCATATAATAGTCATGAACAGTTCATTAACTGATGATAGGTAAATCTTCTGAAACATTTTACCTTGTGTTCATAAAAATTCATGTCTCATAATGAGAGGTTATGAACATCTATAAATTTACCTTGAAAAACAGTATGGCTCATGAAAATTTAATCTACTCTTCTTCTAAATGGTTTTTTTTAATACATAGTTCAGTTCTGGTCACCTCATGGTAAAAAAAATAACAAAGCATAACAGAAATAGAAACAGCTCAAAGTGGAAAATGAGAATAGTGGAGACTTCCTATAAAGGTTCTTAACAAGATTGTGATAACTTACGTAGGGAATGAGAAGAAACAGTAAGAGAAGGAATATAGGCAAAATGTAGAAAATAACAAATATAAAGAATACATACATATCAGCATATCTGAGATACAGAGAACAAAATTAAATTAATGGGGTTCTTCTTAATCAATGAAAGGAAATATGGTTGGTGCACTACAGTTAGCAATAATAAAGTATTATCAAGAAAACTGTGTTTTGCAAAGAACTCTTAGATGAACAGTAGATGTATAATCACACTTGTGTTTCATAATACAAAATGCTACTTCTTTAATATATAATGTGATCCAGACCACATTAAATTTTATCTCCTTTCCATTTTTCACTTTAGAATACTGAGTACTTGGATATTTTATAGGAGTTAATAGGTTTCACTGAGATGTAATCAAGGAACTTGTATGTATTGGCAGTGATTGAATTTAGTTTAATCCACTATGGCGTATCTGATCTACATAACTGAAAAAGTCTCCACATTGTCAATGGATATAGAACATTATTAAAACAACAACATAGCAAATGCCTCTAAGGGCAAGATACTGCCACTGTTCAGCACATCTAATATAAAAACAACTAGGAAAAGCAAAAGAATTTGTTAACAAAAGCAAAGCAGTACCTAATTGTTCTTCAGAAGAGCTACACTTGCGCTAATAACAATAAAAGAGTCATGATGTATTAATTATTACTTCTTTTCTTCAAGACATAGATGTCTCTTGAAAAGGAATTAAACTGAGGGTTCATTGTGGAGCTGCTCTAGAGTGAATGATTACAGGTTTCCTCACTGGATTCCAAATTTAGGTGTGCATAGATAGCATGAAATGCAAAGGGCTGTATGAGATCAAGGTAAAACAATAAATACTCATACCAGCCATAGTAAGTCTTTCCTGTACAGTAACAAACTAAAGCAAGCCAAAGAACAAAATGTGACAAATAGCTTCTATTTACACAGTTACCTAAAAAGTCAGTTATAACATTGAACTATAATTATAAACTATGACTCTAATCCAGTGAAATGGAAAATTTGATAGTTTTGGAGACTTGATAACTTACTAGTTTTCAGCAATTTCTATATTCCTTTTTATATCCCCCTGTGATTATCTTCTACTGCTGAATTTTTTTAACAACATATGACAGGGTAGCAGTTGTATCAGTTTAGTAAAAGTTCTTCAGTAATCACCATTAAGCTGGAGAGCAAATCACAGTTATTAATTATTGATCTATGTATGAACAAAAAAACCCCATTTTCTAGTTTATTTTGGAAAAAAACCCTAAACCATAACCAGGTAATACTTTTTTTATAAATAGAACATACACAATTTTTTGTCACAGTTTTCTCACCAAACACCCAGCTCTCTTGGACTGATCCATCTTTCTGAAAGACTTCAATAAGAGAGTCCCCTGGTTTTCTGTGGGAGCTAAACCTTGCCAGAAGGCTAGGACCACAACCTTTTACCAGGGGTCACAAATTCTTGGTCCTTCTGATCTGTTCTTTGTTTCTAGCACATCGTTTGAAGTGTGTCAAGAAAAGATTACATTTCTGTAAGCTGACCCAAGATGTGGACCTGAGGCCCTGAAGTGGTGTGGCCACAGGGTAGCCACTGTAGCCCCTCGCAGGCTTGCGGGACTGAGGCTGCAGACAGGGACCATATTGACAGAACTGTTCAGGTCCTAGGAAAGGGCCATCTTATGCCAGCTAGCTTTGTGCCGAGGGAAATTAATCCTGAAGAAAGGCTTCAATTTTCAATTGAAGCTAAGCTGTAACTCAGTGGGAATCTCTGAATCAGGAGGCACCAGTGTGCCCATTGCCTTCCCATGCCACCTGAAAGGTGAGCAGCTGTGTTATCCACCCACCTCCCTGAGCCATGGTGAGGTGCAAGAGTGAGTTCCTTACTGTGGACTGAACATTCAGTTGAGGAGGGATTTGTTAAATTTATACAAACTCTGACTGTTCTTATGTGTTTTTCATTAGCAGTACTGTTGGCTTTGAAGGTTTAGATGTTGTTAAAAAATTTTGGTAAAACATTAGGGTAAAGGTTCTCAATCAGGAGGTTTCTTCCCTTCATATTCTTAAATCTATTTTTTCATTATCACCCACAGCATGCTGGCTTGAAAAAGTGAACGAGAACAAAATTTTTTAAAATATTGTGTCTTAGCAGAAAAAATCGTGAATAGCCCTGGGGATTAAATAAATATATTTGCCTGGAGCAAACAGAAAAACTTACCTATTCTCGGATGCATATGATCAATAACAGAAAGTAAGGGATGTGAGTGACTGTCGTGTGCCATTTTCATTTATATATAAACCTAATGTGACTTCTGTATTTCTGCCAGTTCAAAATTCACATTTAGCTTTTCCAATCTGTTTATATGTCTGTAAACTTGGGCCACCAATGTCCCAAAAATTAGGCTTCAGTTAAGAGGTTGTTCATCTTAATCTAGGAAAGTAGGGCTAGGTAGGATTTCCCCCCAAGACAGCAATAGTCCTTTCTCCGACTAAATATAACAGTTGAAATTGTGACAATTACCTTGGGTTAACTGAGAGAAGAGAGGAAGAAGATGAGACGACCTGGCTTATAAAATGAGATGGTTCATGAATGAAAAACTTTATAAAAATGTTAATTTTCAGAACTTACAAAATAATTATTTTTTGTTTTACTTTTTAAAGTAAGTTTTAGTTTATTAGAATAAAAAATGAAAAACTGGCTCATGAACAAACACTGCCAAAAGGTGTTTTAAATAACTTATTAATTGTAAAAATTCCAGTAATAATTAACTATGATTTCAGTGAATTATCACTTGAATGAAATAAAGTTTTTAGATATTCTTCAATCAATTCTGTATTTTAGATCACTATATTATATGTAAGTATATGTAAATATGTATCTGTATCTGTAAGTGAATGTAAATATTCTTTTTCTCAACAGCTCTCTCTGGCTCTCTTTGTCAACTATTTTGCAATCTAAATCTAGTTTATTCTCTTGTGGCTAATGCTCAGAAATATAAACATCATGTTATTTGCTTGTGTAGGCAAATGGGGCTTTATGCTTGTTTGTTTATTTGCAGATATATGTTCTAAAAATAAATGTGGTAAATTTCTGCCTAAAGTACTGCACACTCCTTGCTTTCAGCAATGTCCTTCTTTCTTTCCTAAAATATAGGAGAGATTTTACTGAACTAGAAATATAAATTTATTTTTCCACTTTGTCTCACTATTTTTCAGTTTATTTCTTGCCAATTTACAATGAAAATTGAAATAAGTGTAGTTCTTTCATTTTGCCTGTAATTATGCTTGAAAAATAACTAGGGAAACTCAGACTGCTCATTCCAGACTACAGATTACTAGACCTTCTAATCTAATTTTCCTCAAATTGTGAATACATTTCAAAGATTGCTTTAATTTGCAAGTGGGTCCTAAAGACATAGTTAAAATCTTCCAGGTCACTTATGAAAGTGTTGGGCTTTTTTTAGTTTAAGTGATATGTTTTACCATTTTAATTTCTCTGACATGAGTCAAGTTGTTTAATAACAACTGATGATAATAACAAATGAAAAATAAAATGTGTAGTACTTTCAGGAAATGAAACTCAGGCTAACATATATGAAATTTTCCAGCATAAGACAGAATCTTCATTAACAGTTTTATCAAATAGGCTGTCAGTAATTTTATTCACAGTAATTCACAGTAAAATTACTTTCAGTAATTTTATTCACAGAGTTTTTCTTG